AAAGTTTGGGCTGTGACGCTTATATGAAGCGCACTGAATTGTATATCAATTCTATAATCCCGTTGAGAAGAAGATATTCGTCTCAATACATGTTATACTCCTAGAGAAAATGTTTATTCTAGGAGAGACGGTGGAAGCAGAATAAATCTTGAAGGAGTTCAAGAGTCCACGGATATAATTGGTCATTTGACTTGAGGTCATCATAGCACCTTATATGAGGACAGTCATATTTTGATGGTGTTGGATGTTGCTTTGCTAAGGGTCGCTAATACAGCATCATTCGGGTATGTCAAGAATCATATGAAGGTTGTGAATGATCAATACATGATTCGTCACTCTTAAATAGTAAGAGATTATGGTCTACATTTTCTCCAGTTAAGTTGAAATGAAATCTTTGACCAAGGTGAACTCATAAGTCGAAAATGAGTTTTCGACTTACATTGACTTAACACTAGGATAAAAGATATGATCGATAATTGAGATTGACACATATCCGTATCTTATAATTGATTGGATCATATTGACGAAATGATTATAATTTCACGATAAACGAACGAATTTCGTTTGTCACATCACGTGATATTTTTATCACATGTATTGCCCTCACACATTGCTATATGTCAATCCGGGATGTCGAATTTGAATTTGTAATAAATTAAAAGGGGTGTTTTAATTTATCAATTTTGATTAGATCAAAATAATAATTTACGTCGTTAGGTATCGTGATCGGGAACTTAATGGGTCACATACAAAAGAGAACCGGAAGAATGAGATTTACCAATTAATTAATTGACAAGTGTTGAATAATTAATTAATTGGATTGCTTATTAATAGGTCCGAATTAATTAATTGGATTAATTAATTCATAGACCGGATTTAATTAATTTGATTAATTAAATATCAGACTGGGTTAAATTTAGAGATGGCCCAAGCCCACTTGTGCTTATATTAATAGGCTGATAGCGTTTGAAAACTGTAGAGAATTTTCATTGTTCTTTCTGGCATAAGAAAAGAAAACCCTATCTGTCATTCTTGTTCTCTATGTGGATCACCATTGAAAACTGGACAATTGGACAGTTTGGATTGCAGATCTTGATCATTGGAGTTCGAGAATCAGTAAAGGAGTTTGCAGAATTTATCAAATGTATTATTCTCATCACAGTTTCTATCTAAACACATTGCAGATTTTTTATGGGAATTGAAAATTGTTTTATTTCCGCTGTGCATGGTTAAGTAAATTCCCAATATTTTTCTGATCCTCTTCTAGAGATCGAAAAATGCTCTGATACCAAATGTTAGCACCTTTCTTCCTTGTGAAAGAGCTCCAAATAATATCTACCTCTAATGTTGAAGAAATAGAGGAAAACAAAAAAACTTTCTTGTAAACAAGAAAGTGAAAATAGAGAATAAAAAAAACAAGGAAAACAAGGGAGAAAGAGAGAGAGCTTCTGGGAAATTTTTTGAAACGATTTTTCTCTATCTTTTTCATTCAACCATACTGCCTTACATAAGTACCAGCCAACCACTATTACATAGAAAAAAGATAAAGAAATACAACATGGCTGAGCTTAGAGTACAAGGCTACCAACTACCATTCATTCGACTGTAGATAAAAAAGATAGTCAAAATAAGAATTTTATAAAAAAGCTTCATTTTCCTTCAGTGGGCAAGTTTGGACTAAAACGATGGGGGCCAACAGTTTGGCGCATTAACTTAAACCTTTGTGAAGTACGACGTTGAGAGGTCAACTACGAGGTGTCAAGTACTGCTGCTGCAACTATATTTAGTCCCTTTATCCTTCACTGTCGTAATTTGCTAACTTTGATTGCATTTTGTAAATATTATTTTCAGCTATAATAGCTTTCAGTTGTAGAAGTACTCAATCGATTATAAATATTTATTATCATTCTTCAACTTTTTAAAATGTTGGGTTTGGTTAAACTTTGAACAGATGTTACACTACTCATAATTATTCAGAGAGAGAGAGAGAGAGGGGGGG